CAAAACAATCGTTATTGTTTCTTTTGGCATTGTTGTTAAATATAATTGAATCAATTGTCATGTGGTCAACAACATATCCGTTATTCATTCATGCTAGTAAATATACATATGATAATCAAACAAAAATGATCGTTAAAAATAACTCAGTTGTTAAACCAATATTACCGACCAGTAATCACAAATTGATTTATTATACGAAATTACAATATAACGGAATCAACGATGTTTTGAATCGAGCAAAGGTTTATACCCATATAGCATATTGGACAATTTTTATTCTCCATTTGATATTTCTATTGGGATTAGTTTTGGGACATCAAAAGAAATTCAATCGAATGTTTTCATTCACATGTTTGAGTCTATTAACAACATTTATATTTTTTATGAATGCATTTGATTTTAAATCACAAGGATATCTTATATGTAGTGTACCAAGTTTTTATTTAACATTTGGTGTTGTTACATACTATGGTTATGTTGTATTTGCTGTAGTGGTTTTTGCTGCTGGTGGTGGTGCGGGTGCAACGAGTGGATATGGATGTGGTGTTTGTCTTGTGTTTTTATTTTATTTCTGTTTTGCTATTAGTGCTATGATTGGTTTCATACTGAAAACATCATTTCCATTCATTTCATCGTCATCATCTGCGCAAGCAGTTGCGTGGCTTAATTTATGTTCATATCTATTAGAGTTAACTGGAGTGATATTGTTGACAAATCGTGACAGAAAAAGTAAAAATGTGGATGGAAACGACAACAATGAGCTAACCAATCCTGTAGTCGACAACAATGTAGAAAGTATTTGAAATTTTTTTCAAAAATAACACTTTTATTGATAGCCATAATAGCAACGATCGTTTGGACAGCTTGCAGTTTTGATACAAAAGAATAATTTGCACGGCCATGGTACTATCTGAAATAAAAAAACTAGAAAGGTAGAGTAAAGAATGACAAAAATCGAAGCCGTTCATTTGATGGAATTATACGCCTACTGTTTATGAAAATAATACTTTCTATACTCTTGATGTCATCACTCAGAAAAAATTGCAGATATGAAAACTTGAGAACTATCTTGATCTTGAGTTAAAGTTGAAACTAGAAGTGCATTTTAATTCGATTCCGCAAAAGATGTCAGAATATTTGTCTATATAAACTTACACAGTTAAATCTCTTTATGAATTGCTCTAGAGGCGTACGTTCTTTTGAATCTTTCATTTATAGCACAAACTTCTACTGCAAAAATGAGGTTGGTTAAATAAATGACGCAGTATTTAGGTTTCTACAACCTCTGATGATATTGGCACAGTTTAATCGTTAGAATCGAACAGCGAATGCAGCTGCTCTTGATTCGAACTGGCAATTGCAACTCTCCCAGCAGTAATAGCGTTTTGTGTTATTGAACTTCGATCGACTGCATGTGCTGTTTGGTTTAAGCTTTAATCTTGAACCAGAACGAAATCGAGAATATAAATTCCCATTATCTCATTCTGAAACTTGAACTATCAAAACACAAAATCAATCCTTGCACGAACCTAGGATCGAACACACAAACTTGATCTCTGCCGACGAACTGCAAAAATCAACTTCGCTGTGCTGTTTGACCGCAGTTGTACGCAGTTCATGAACAGAATACGGTTTTCGCCGTTGTAGAGGCGGCGTTTCAAAGTCCCGATTATTCAAAATTTCCAGCTAGAATCATTGAAGTTCAACATCCAGTCTATTGGATACAACAAGTAGAGACTAAAGCTATAGCACGAGTGCACATTAACGATCTACGTCTCGTGCTCGAGCAACAATTTCACTAAATATTAACACCAGCGTGTCCGGTCAAAGAGCTACTACTGAGCTATTTTCTCTTTCTTCACTAACGCGGTTCTGCTAAGCTCTTTACTTCAATTCACCAAATTGACATTACTGGACTACGTATTAATTTCCGTTTTGGTATCACGATGTTACATCAAATTAAAACAAAATTTTCGATGATCAGTGGAAAAGAAATCGAATTTATTCACACTTACCCTTATTTAGTTTACCCGTTGAAAACTGAGTTCCTTTCGGCTCCACGGATTCTTTAAGTCGTATTGCATTGTCAGTCCCAGCATTTACATTACATCCCGATGTTTATTACTTGAATACCGAAATATCCCTCCGTTTTTTACAAGATCTGATAGATAAATGCAAAACTATAAAACATTACGTCATCGATACTGAAAGTGATATTGACACACAACACCCTTGTCTCATTCAAGTTCTGCCTATTCCAGAAACATATGCGTCATCACCCTTGTTTCCAATTATCATAGACACTAACTTCTTGCCAGCTGAAGGAACTCGGTTCCGCGTTAAAATCGAAGAATTATGTGGCATTATATTTCATCGAGATAATCACTTCTATCAGAGGTGGGATCGGTTCGTATATTTTTATAACCGAAGCCAGATAAACCGAAACACTTCCAAACCGAACCGAATCGAACCGATCTAGTTTTTGAAAAACTTCCAACCGAACCGAGTCGAACTGAAAAATTTTCGAACCGAACCGACCTGATTTTCTTAAAACTTTTAAACCGAACCGATCCCGCCTCTGACTTCTGCGCATGGGGTGATTGTAAAGAGGAATTGTCAAAATTTAGAGGTTCAACATTATTTAGTCTATCTAATATCATCAATACTACAAATGTACAAATGACTTTCAGAAAGTCTTATAATAAACACCATCCTCATCTTCCTGACTGTCCTGCTCTTCAGTTGTTCGAAAATCATACGGCTGAAGATGATTATTTATTAACGGCCACACCCTGTGAAGATCTAGAAGATGGCAACTTAGCTGATCATCCCTCATGTACGTGTTCATTCAGATCATAACCGGAATCAGCTAAACAGCTGGAAGCTACAAAAAGCATTGGCACTCGAATTTCAATTGTATCTGAACAAATACCATACCTGTTCAAACTGGGCTGGAGGAATAGACCTTCAATTAAATACCTGGAAATTCCAAGATTACACTGAGCGAAACAAACAAAGAAACCTACGAAAACAGTTAGAATATTATGCAATCTACGACGTCATTTCAGTCTGGTTTATAATGTTACATCAGGATCTGCCTAAAGACAATACGAAAAAATTACATCAGAGTTCAATGGCTGATACCGGTCCAACGATAGAAATATCACTCTCATCACATGCACCAAGATCTTCAATTTTATCTAATGAAAGAACAGTGACAATTGACCCAGTGATTTATATTCCAGACACGGAACCCCTTACGCCTCCGGGAGAACAATGTGAAAGTCAAGGAACAGTAGTTACTAGTAGTGTAACTAGAGCAGTAGTTGTACCGACGCCGGTGAGAGACCGAGTTTTTTTCGGCACCACGGGAATACCATCTGTTAATCTCTTAGCATTGAGTGAAAACTTATCAAGTGATTCTCACACCCTTTCAACTTCCTCATCTTTTGAAATCTCCGAACCACCAGTGATGACGCAACGTCCAACCTATACGATCATTGCGGATAGTCATCTTCAATATTTGCCAAAACGTATTCGTCGACAACATTATGATATACATATTGACGCTATTAGAGGACTACAGTGGTTCGACAGATATGATAATCAGTTATCCGTTGAAACTGTCATCAATAAACCAGCAAATGTACAATCTATAGCTTCATCTACAGCAGTTTTACTTGCAATTGGCACAAATACTCTGCGAAACGTAGAATCATTTCGTGCAAATTCAACAAGTCCGACGAACAGTAAACACGATTAGAGAACAGCACCTCATTTATCAGACTCACATTTGATTTTCACTCGCTGCTTTCCATGTCAACGAGAAACAAAACCGTTCCCATTAGATTTGTTAAGGAAGAACATCAGCACATACAATAATTTATTGTACAATTTGTCAAGACAATTGCAATATTCTATTTTGGACTGTGGTGTTCAAGACAAACATCTTAGTTAGTCAAGCGGATAAAATGCATCTTTCTGATGAAGGACGTGATCTATATTATAGTTCTATCTACACTTACTTTGATGCTCTACAACAGTCACAAGTTGCTGTAGCTCCTTATCTTAACCGTTCAAAATCTCCGTCCTCTCCTACTTCTCATCATCATCATTCGAAAACACAATCTCACCATCGTTCACCATCTCCTCAACACGCCTCCTCAACTACAGCAAAACATAGACGCTGGACTTCGCAGCCTCCAGCTCCACAGCCTTTTAATCACCAACAGCCACCAGTACCACCGAATATGGCTTCTCAAAATTCCTCATACTCTCGTACTTCTACACATAATAAGAAAATGAAAAACATAAAGAATTCCCTAAAATGTCATTCAAAAGATTATCAGTACTGTGTCCATCGTGAAGTCTATGAAATTTTCAATTCAGGAACTCAAAGATATCCTTCGTGGACTTGGTTTGCGATTTAAAAAAACCAACAAACAATTCATAGATGGGAAGATGATATTATCAATTGCTCTCTTCGCCGAAGAACAACGAACTGAGTTTGAACAGAGATTACATGATCACCTTTTCACAGAGGAACACTATATTCAACTTGTTGGCCACCGTTTGTAAAACCACCCCACATACAGTCATTGTCATCGCTCCCTTCTACCTTGCCTTGCCAGTTTACTTCTCTGTCTTCTGAAAACTCCGGGAAGGGGAAGGTGTTATATCTACAGATATAAGGCACTATTCCTGTCTCCTTTTATATACACCAACTATAGTTCCTTTTTAGTCAGATATAGTTATAAGAATGGAGTGAAGACACGCGTGGGTAGTTTTCTTTATATCGTTGCATTCCATCTTCTTCGTTGTTATTAGTTCATTGTTTGTTATTCTTTTATTAGTATTAACTTTGTTCGTTATTATCAAATATACTACACCAAAATCCTATTGCTATCTATTGGATTGGGGCTGAGACACTAGACGGAGAGCTTTTCAGACGAGTAAGAGAACTAAAGATAGCATCGTCATTTAATGCATGGGAATGCGTTAAAAATCAATGCGTATTCACTGATTCCAGTTTTTTGTAAATACTTAAATTCATTATTGCGCCTATTTTGTTCTTTAATAAATGTGAACGCCTTAGCTATCATATCGCGAATTCCTTCGCACGCAATAGACGGTTCGAAGGCCTGCACCCAAGAAGTACCCTCGCAGGCATTAAAAGCTTTTTTTTTGCCTTTAAGGCCTTAAAAACCTTCTTTTGACACATTTTAAGGCTTTACGACTTTGAGATTTTTCATGCGTTCTCTGGAGTTACCCATGTGAACTAAAGGCGTTCGTATGCGTTATTTTTATAAACGCCTATAATGTATGTAAAAATTTAATACATTGTAGCGTCTTTAGAAAACTTTTCGGGCTCTAAGGCTTCTCAGGCGTTATAAAATAAGGCGTTCGAACACCTTCTCATTTCTCAACTGACTCGAATTCATACATCAAGTAGAAGGCGTTAGCAGAATAATAATTTTGAACGCGTTTGGGCAAGTTAACGATAAGAAGGCATGTAAACAACTGTTTGCCGTCATCGTCATTTAATACGTCGGAAATTTTATGAGACACCTGTGCGAAGTTTGGGCTTCGAACAAATTCTAACGCATTATAAACGAACCTTATGCATAATGCGTTCGAAGGAGTTCAAGACTTAGAAATGCAAGTTGGAAAAAACGGAACTTCGTTACAATGTTTGTATCTCGAAACTCCTTAGAGTGCATTAAAAGCCATTTTCACCTTTATAACGCGTTCGAATCCATTAAAAATATATTTTTCGTTTATAATGCATTAGAAGGCCTTGGAATATGCTTGATATGGAAAAATGGGCACAAGCTTTTTTTGCAGTCTTACACGTTTAAGGACAACGAATGCAATGAAAGCCGTTTTTTTTTTTTTTAATATAGTAAATATTTATTTTTCAAACACAACTAATTACAATAAATTTCAAACTAATTTGTAGGTACAGTTATTAAATGAATTGACAACACAAGTGCGACACTTTCCCATGTATTGGTCTTCTGTGAGACACAGTATATAAAATAAAGTATATACAGTACCAAAAACGATCGAAACTTGCACGTCCGTCACCCTCCTTACCATAGAATGATTTACCATAACATTTT